TTGCCTTGGATTATCAACTTCCTAACTAACCGCCGTCATCAGGTCAAACTTGGAGGGAAAACGTCAGACTGGTTGCCAATGAATGCGGGTGTCCCCCAGGGAACTAAACTCGGTCCAATTCTGTTTTTGGCGATGATAAATGATCTCGATGTGAAACCACACGCAACGGATATTTGGAAATTTGTGGATGACATATCAACATCTGAAAATATCACAAAGGGCAGCAACTCAAAGTTTCAGTTCTGTATTGATACTATAAATTCTTGGACTTCGTGCAACCTTATGAAACTTAACTCCAAAAAGTGCAAAGAACTACGCGTTTGCTTTCTGAGGGAATCACCTGATCTATCACCATTGTTGATCGACGGTCATGCGCTTGAGGTTGTGCGGTCTCATAAAGTCCTAGGTCTGGTTATCCAAAACGATCTTAAATGGAATGCACACATAGAATCAGTTGTATCCAAGGCTTCTAAACGTTTATATATCATCCGCATATTACGGCGAGGTGGTGTCCCTGCGGAAGACTTATTGAGTATATACTTTGCCTTAATACGATCGGTTCTGGAGTACTGTTGTGTGGTATGGCATCATGCCCTACCTTTGTACCTCGCCGATGATTTAGAGCGAGTGCAAAAACGAGCGCTGAGGATTATTTTACCGGGTTACTCTTATAGGGAAGCATTAGCACAACTTGGGTGTTCCAGATTGGATGAAAGGCGAGAACGACATTGCCTCAATACTATGAAACGCATAGAAATTGAAGGACCACTGTCAAAATATGTTCCATTGTCTAGGGCTAGTTCAAATGATTATGAACTTAGAAACTCTAACACATTAACAACAATAAAATGCCGAACAGAAAGATATCGCCGTAGCTTTTTCCCAGTACAGTAGCTCTATATAATAGTTATAGTAAAGAAACTTAAGCGTGATACTTAATTACGATGATTTTAATGCAATTCAATAAGATTTTTAGACTTGATGCATGCAACTAAATTTTTATATATGTAAATATATAGCGTACCAATTTTGTAAACGCACCATAATTCAATCTATTGCGAAGGTGTGTATCTTAAACCATTAATAATAATAATAATAATAATAATAATAATAATAATAATAATAATAACATCAATATTTACTTGCTATATAGGTATGTGCATGAGTTCAAAGCCGAATTCATATTATAGCTAAATGGAAGAGGGATTTCCATCTGAGAATCTTGTCTAAATGGAGAAACACGTGCAGAATATAATTTCGCCTTTAACGACGGATTTTCGTCTCAACTTTTTCGTCCAACTTCACTGCCTGAACGACTGGAAAGCCGATTAAATGAAAGCTGGCTTTGCTTAGTTGGAAAACTTGTCTTAATTAAATATGTATCCGAGGCCGGAATAAATCACGAGGGTTTCAGCTTGCTAAATTGAAAAGAGATTGAGGTTCTCCGATATAATTTTTAGGTTTATCCATCTGATGGTTTTCGTTTCATATTCATATCAGACGGAAATCCAACAGACAAATTTCTAGTCTTTGACGAAAATTCGTCTCAAAACATGAAGTCAGCTAATTTACTCCAATCGTTTCATTATTTTCACATGCATGCAGTTATTTTTAATGTATATATAATGCTCCGTAGTGTTTCAATATAACTAAGCTATACACATTCACAAACAATTATATAAATATTTATTTATATAAAACAAATCATGATTACTAGATTGCATTGGTATCGAAGGAACTAGATTCTGTTCCGAAATATCGCATACTCGGATCGACCTGAACGCGCAGCTCGAAGTTGGCAGAGCATCGGACTAGTATTCCAAAGGTCGTAGGTTCGATTCCCACTGTGGCCAGGCACATTTTTCCAGCTTGCCCGAGGTGTGGATGTACACTCAGAGTTACATCACAGGCATCATATTCACCAGAGTACATTATAGCAAGACAGAACAATCGTGATTAATAGAGTGCATTGGTATCGAAGGAACTAGATTCTGTTCCGAAATATGACATACTCGAACCGACTTGACCGCGTATAGCTCAGTTGGCAGAGCATTGGGCTTTAGTATTCGAAAGGTCGTAGGTTAATTCGATTTCCACCGTGGCCAGGCATATTTTTCAAGCTTGCCCGGTTTGGATATACACTCAGAGTAACATCACAAGCCGGCATCATATTTACAGAGAGTACATTACACCAACACAGAAAAAATATTTCTATACTTCTTCTAATAAAACTCTTCCCAATATATAATAATTATTCTTTATTGTCTGTCTATTTCTCTCCGTTCAACCAAGTAATAAAATTCTTCAAATCTTGTACTTCAACATAAGGCAGTGAAAATCTTAAAACTAGATGCAGGAGTATAATTTCCGGCAAGACATGCAATACATGCAATAAAAAATTATATATAGTTTTATAAATAATCACTTATAGTTATGTCTTCAAATTAAAAGTATGGTGGAATGTTCTATTGCAGATCTGAGAGAGGATTTATCTACATATAAGCTTAATAACCAAATAAATAACCCGTTTCGTTGTATCATATAACAATCATGACTTTCAATTGTTTATAATTGTATGTACATGATTACTGCAGTTTTGCATGGCAGCCAAGTATTAAAAAAATTTGATCAATTATATATAATATAACTATAGTATATAATTCTAATTTTTAACCTAGGCTCTCTGCATGTAAATTTAATATGTTTTGTATTGTATGACTATATATATGTACCAGCATTGGTAGCTCTATTTGAATAGCACTGTTTTGTTTCTATGTTCATTTGAAGAAACTACAAACCACCACACCTACACAGAACTGTTTAACCGACGTGTGAGCTGAAAAAAGGAGACAACAACCTATTATGTATGAGAACAAGAACTTTGATTTAAGCACGGTTTGTGTTACATACATGTGCATGCATGTTAAGGTACGTTTACACAAAACGATTAATCAGGCAGATTCAGGTTTAATTAAATGATATTTGAAAACTACGCTGTCAATTAACGTCATTCGGACAACATCTTCCATGCCCTGACAACATTCGTCATTAACATTCGGCAAAACCTGAAATCCGCCCGATTAATAATGGTTGTGTGTAAACGTAGCATTAAGCATATTAAATTATATTCAACTTCTCGTTTTATTTTCAACCATATTCAACTTCTGCTATTTTACGTGGTTCGTTTCAAACATTTTATTTTTATAAATCTTAATATTTACTATCTACAATCCTGGCAAAAACTAACGAAACATCCAGTTTGATTAACAATTTAATATATTCTTTCCCCTTCCCCCGTTCCAATGTTGATTAAGATGAGCAAGAACCCTACACATAGTGCTCTCTGCCATCGATGAACTATTGTGCACAATTATTTAGAATCTATGTCCAACATTGTGCAGGGGGGATGGAATTTTGTCTGTTTTATTGATTTTTTATAGGTGTTTCATTAACTTTTTGCCAAGATTGAATCCTGCCAAAAACTAATGAAACATCCACTTTGATTAACAATTTAATATATTCTTTCCCCTTCCCCCCTTCCAATGTTGATTAAGATGAGCAAGAACCCTACACATAGTGCTCTCTGCCATCGATGAACTATTGTACACAATTATTTAGAATCTATGTCCAACATTGTGCAGTGGGGAGGGGATATTGTCTGTTTTATTGATTTATTAAAGGTATTTCAGTTTTGCCAAGATTATAGCTTTCAATTTAACTTTCAAATTTTCAAATTCTCAGTTACAACATTTTTATCTGAGAAAAATTTGAAACGGAATCAATAATGCGCATGATCGCAAAGTTTCCTACTCCAGTGGACTGAAATTAACAAATAAAATGCATCCATTAAAGATTTGCGAGCATTCATGCACTTTCGCATTTTTCCCACTACAAATAATTACAGTCTTCCTGTCATTATACCCACAAGTATAGGTAAACAAACGATATTCTCAAGTACAATTCAATTAATGAAAAAGTTCCTTTTCTGACCCGATCTATGTCTATAAACAGTATATAATTAACAAATATATTAATTATTAAAAACAGTTTAGTCACGATTGAAGCAATCGCCAGAATAATATCAGATTTTCCCGGTTATTTGCCCAATATTATGCACAGTCAATTACATGCAATTTTATTGGGCTTTTGTACAGGAATCATATAATCTATATATTTGTACTTACAAATACAGTATGGATTCAAAAGCGACATATTACAGTAATTTAAACTCGATTTTCACTACAGAACCGTAGAAATTTGATCGTTGCTCTCTTTTCATTTGTACATTAATGTTTTAAAGTTGAAAATTAAGAAGGATACAATCATTAAGTTCTTGCCAAAAGAACACTAATTCGTTCATTACGAATTATTTCGTAAAATGCGGTAACAGGAACAAGACGGGAAAACATTTTGTTTTGATCCGGAGGTGAATAGCGCAAGGATGTCCGGAGATGACCAATCGGAAGATGATCAAAGTCAAGACAAAACTTTATTTCAAAGCCTTTTTTAAACAAGACGCTTCACTGAGCGTTAAGCTTCTGGGGTTATTAAAATACGGGCTTATTTATTGTGTGATAGATGCTTGCGCAGATGCATCAACAATATGTGTGACCAAGTCTATAAGAATAAGTAAATCGTCGATTTACGCGTGCTCAGGGAACAGCACTGCATGCAGTACTATATATGTCTGGCTCATCGAAATTGTCAGCTGCAAATTAGATAATGGATTAAAATTCTGCGGATTCTGCACAGAGTTTTCAATAATATTAATATTATTTAAGTTCCTTAAAGTGTTCGCAAAATGTCCACTTATAAGCTAAATGCATATTAAATATACAGCACTTCTACAAAATAGCACAATTCGGGATTTGATTATACAGGGTGTCTCAAAAAAACCCAAAATCATTGAAATTGACGTATTGTTCGATATTCAATGCCCTAGCACTAAGTTAATCCCACGAGTGCATAAAAGATTGACATAACTGCTATAATAAATGGTAACACTCAGCGTAAACTTGTTATGTCAGGCATAAAGTACTAAACCCACGAATGCATATTACGCATATTACAATTTACGAAGCATTTTTAAATTCCCATGAGCAAACAAACGTTCACTTTACAAAGATATTTTAATTTTTTAAAACAAATTAATCATCCTGTCAAAATCCTTTGTGTTACGGCATTGAAATTCGAACAATACGTTATTTCAATGATTTTGGGTTTTTTTGAGACACCCTGTATAGAATAGTGTGTGTATATAGTTGCCGCATTGATTCATTGTAAAAGCATTTTGAAAGTGTCTGTAAGGTATCGTACTTTAATGTTAAACATTGCTGAATACAGAAGCTATAAGATTCAATATTCGCGTGCAAGAATGCAAGTTTCAATTGTTTTGCACTTGAGAAAATTAGGGTAATTTTGTGGGCAGATATTTTATTGTTTTGCAATTGAGAAAATTAGGGCAATTTTGTGGGCAGATAATTTGTTTTCCAATTGAGAAAATTGAGGCAATTTTGTGGGCCGATAATTGTTCTTTACTCTATATTTTCAGAATAAGAGCATACGCAAAAGTTCCGATTATATGCGAGCATACAAAGAGTTCCGATGCAATACTTTCGTGCAAGATTACAAGTTACACTTGTCTTGCAATTAAGAAAGTTAGGGTAATCTTGTGGGCGATATGATTTCTTCATTCCAGTTTGAGAATAAAGGCACATAAGTGAATTTCCGAATACTGAAATGTAATTTCCATTAATATATATAGCCAAACAAGGGGATTGAAATTATTGCAATTTTTCATGGCCATGGGACACCTCACTCTATGATAGAACTATAAATGTGCAAGGGCTGTTTTTTACATGGAAATTTCGAGTATAAAATTTCAAGATCTGCATGCCATGTACGCTGAGAACGACATAATTGCATTTATTGCTGTCGTGCCAGAGGGCCTATATATTTTGATCAACCAAAATCCATTCAACAAATGCAAAATTATTATATCTTTAATTAGACATATTGGCGTCATCATACAAAGGTGCAAACAAATTAAATATCTGTACAAATCAGCAAATCGGCCAGCCAAACGCAGGATATATTTATAGCTATATTACGATATTTGAAGAGCCTATGAAACGAAAGAACCATAAAAACTATAGGGAACTTATTTTGCAGTTTCCGTTCGGTTTCCAAGTCGTTTACGAGATATTTATTTAGTTAGCTAAATATACTTATATAAAGGTTTTACGTCACAAATATGCATAACGAGTTCGCTGAAAATGTTATGTTCTTGTTGCAGGTATTTGTTGTTAAAGAACAACATAAATGCACACTATACTTTTAAAAACATGACACGTATATCAAATTAACTAAAATATCTCGAAATGAAGCAACGGAACGAAAAACTGCAAAAGCAATACACTATCCTTTTTATAATTATTTTAAATACGCCAATTAACAAAAGATTTCGTTTCATATTCTAAGAGAAACAGTTGTCTCCAGAAAATATCATTACAGTATTTTCACCAGAACGTGAGCCAATTTTAACAATTGAGGATATTAACCTGCATGAAAGTTTACGTTTAACACCACAATTCAAATTAAAGTTGAAAATTGTTTATTCATTTATAGGTATTAATGTAATCTAATTCTTCTTTGGTATTTATAAATAAAAATGTTAGCCACTTATCATTTGTAAAGTACCTATTGCTGTGTAAAGAATGAATGGTATTATATTAAAAAAACTTCCTATATATAGGTTGTTACAAAAACGTCCTCAATTCGAAATGCTGGGGTATATAAACCCACGTCCAAATGCAGTTTTAGTCAAACTACAAGAGAGGCTAGCGTTGGAAACAACATCAAGGTAAGGCATTATTTGATTTAATTTATTTTTTGTTAATTTGATATCATCTTCAACTTTATAGTAAAGATTTGTGGGTAATGTTCCAAATTTTGCAGACAGCAAACAAAATTTTTTGTTTAATGTATTCTTTATAAGAAAATCTTGCTTGGTAAAAGTCGAAACTCTTTTCTTGGATGGATGGAAGCCAAAAACGTTGCGCAGAAAATTATTCAAATTTTCTCTTAAAGATTTCAGCCCAAATAAGTCGCAGTCCAAAACTATTTTTTCCTTTAGTATTATTTTGGCCTTCTGCCATACAGATAAAGTAATCTTTTAGTCTTAAACGGAGATATTTTTTTAGATTTTAAAGGTTTTTATATGTTATATTTCCGCACAACATTGAAATATATTAACGAACTGCAAAATTATCATTTGACGCAAAATCGTCACGTTCAATTTCAAATGGCCTTCAAATGATCTTGCAAATCTGGATAAACTTTTCATCATTAACTAAGTATTTATATTTCAGTTATGGGAAAAATTGATAACGAAGCCTGCGAATTACTGCAATTATAATTAAACTTCCGGACAAATACATTTTATGGACAATAAGTTCAGAAAACTGGCCAAACGTTGGTTAGTTTGCATGCAGACAACTACTTGCAGATAGCCAACTTCCAAATCATGTTGGAAGAAAAATGTGATATAGTTAATAACTATATAATTATATATATACTCGAATTCCATTTTAGTGACCCGATTTGAAGTTGAAGAACATGGCGATGACTTGGGCAATTTTTCTTGCCGTACTTGTGAGTTTCGAAATTAAAATACATTTTAAAGATAAATTCATAGCTTAGTGGTGTTCAGGCCAGTAAACTATTCGAAGTGGTTTGTATAAAAACAATCCAAATTCGGCGACTTAAATTTATCGAAAAGTGATTGGCTGCTGAGGTTTTTCAGGTTGCAAAAAAGCGACTGTCTTATTCCTTTTGTAGCAGCAAACGCACGTCAAAGACCCCAAAATATCGACTGTTTGAGGCAACAATTTCGCTGATTGCACGAAGGGTACCATTCGGAACATGTAGGATTTTAGGTAATCTTAAAGCCTAAAAATCGTTGATGGTTTGTGTGAGAGAAGACGTGCATGGTTATTTAAATACTGCATGTTTTTAAATAAACACTTATTATATTGCGAAAATATAACGAGAAATTCTCTTTCCTGTCGTTTCGCCATTGCTCAAGTAACTTGCCGGTATGAACCGAAGATACATGGAGGTTGTAACGAACGCGCGATCCAATCATATCAAAGAACAAGGGAAGAACAAATTAATTAGCCACTCTTCCCCCCCCCCCCTGGGAAAAGACTTGTTGACCGTTCTACATTACGAATTTCTACGCCATAGTTTATTTAAATTTGTTAAAATGAGCGTAATCTAGCTACAACGCGAAATTCGCTTTCCCTGTCGTTTATCTTCTTCGAGGGGCAGCCATATTTGTTACGATAGACACACCGATGGTCCAGCGAACACGCGCGCCAATTATATTGACCAATCTACATTAGAAATTATATACGTCATGACTCGTTTCAGGCGGCACACTGTGCGGACACCCGAGGTGATGAACTGGAAAATACTATATTTAACAGGGCGATGAGGGTAAGTGCTGAATCACGTAGAATATACGAGAGCGATATAGTACAGAGAAGAATTAGACGATAGCTATTATAGTTTAATTTAACGTATATTTTGTCATCCAAACTTATTTTCTGTTCACATGCAAGAAAATGTACACATCCTTATAATAATCATAAAAAATTTTTAATTTAAAGATGTTCAGTTCACAAATCGCAATTGCTGTGTATGCACGGAAGTTAAAAAATATTTGTGAACGTATATCTAGTAAATAGAGAAAAAATCACAATTGTTACATTATTGCAATTATAACATGTGAGTTTTTTTCCAAAATGTTGCAACACAATGCATATACGTATTACTGCATGCAGTTTTCCAAGATATGCGCGACCATCTCACCCAAAAAGGTCGAGAGGATAACTAAACTTGTTTTTGACATTTAATCACGGTCACTGTTATTCAATATCAGAAACAGTGGCGTTGCCAGCACGACAATTCAGTCCCGCTATGCATGCAAATTCAAAATTATTATCATTATTCCTTTTTTAGACTCGAATTGTTTGTTTTCACAATCGATGAAAAGTACGAAAATAGTAGCAAAGCGGATTAAATGGTCGGGGTGGCTACGCTACTGATCAGGAACGTCAACAACTGAACAAGGCCCGCCAAATTGGCCGGTATTTTATAAACATGATGATTCATCGAGTTGATAATTGTACCGTTCGTGATTCGAATTTGGCGCGCTTTGTTCAGTTGCTAACGTTTTTTACATTAGTAACCGCGCTCAAACACAACTATCAATATTTTTTGAGTGAGGCTGTAAATATTCAAGTAATTAATTGACATGAAAAATTCATTTTGTAGTACAAGGAGCAAACTGACCTTGATCAAAATGACTTTGCTAAAGATGACGCTGCTATTGCAAAGCGTACAGTCGGTAAATAGATTAGTACAAAAATTCATAGGTGACGGGGGAAGAGCCTGTTCTATTTTTTGGCAAATCAGCAGCCGGCGGAATCCTAGCGTTTTCTGCAATCTGATTGGATGCAGCAGTGGGCGAAATTTTACGATATTTGACCACGGTCCGGAATCCTATACGTAATGGCCGAAGCAAAGCAAACATTTTTTGTATGTTTGTTTTAAAACTGAAAAATATGAATATGTAATTTTGAAATAATTTTCATGATGGATAAAATAATTGTACTGTATTTTGATTGAATTGTTTCTTTTCTAAAGTAAAATAATTAAATATCAAAATTTTTTTATTGTTTTGTTTTCTATATGGTCAATCTAATAAAACCGTTGTCTTTTGCCTTTGAGTCCTCGACAAAAAGAATAAATACGTTATTTACCGTTTAGGTCGGTCCGGATAGAAAAATATAAAAATACAATAACAAAAAAGAGTGGCCGGGTCACCGCAACAGCTTATTGCCAATTACTGCGGACCCAATTAGTTACAATCAACCAAACAACAGACATTCAACTGGACAGACTAACAAACCTTTGAACAAACAATATTAGTTACTAAAAGCAGCAGGATATCGGATATGTAAGACTTGCTACACGGTTACCTTTCAGGCATATAGTTTTAAATGTTCGAGGATTATCAGGATTATAATTAACTTCTAAAGATTTGTGATAGTATTCCAGTAAGGCTGATCTAAAGGAATTGAAGCAGTTCGTGTCATAATTTAGTTCATCTACGAGAGAGTTCCATATTCGACACGTTCTGACAGAAAACGACTGCTGGTAGGTACTGATTTTACATTCGCGGACAAGATATTTAGCGTTATTACTTGATGATGATCGTGTCGTTCTTTGCATAACATGAATGTCAGGAAGGTTAGAACGCTGCACAAGAATCGGTGGGCCGCAAGTTCGATTCCTAGCAGAGTGCCTGCATAGTTGCATTTTTCGCAGCTGTGCCTTGGAAGGCCTAAATTAATGTTGAACTCTCATTGCCTGTGAAGGTAGTGCCTATGAATAAAAAGCTTTCGTTGGTAGCGATGCAACTATCTCAAAAATATCAGGACAATTTCGACACTTCGAACGATCCGGCCCTTTACATCAATCAATTACGTTTACATCCTAAGCCACTCCATGAATATAACTATATACTTTACATTCTGACAGGGGAAGTCGGAGTGAGTTATGTCCGATGGGGTAGAAAGACCTGTCCAAACACCCTTGGAACTACATTGGTGTATGAAGGTAAGAATGAAACTGTTCTTTTCGTGCCACAGCGAGTTTTTCGACCTACCAGTATATATTAGAGGCGTGAACTATAATCTCGAAAAAAGTCCATTTGGATATTCATATATATGTGCTTTGTATCACATCCATTATTATAAATTAACTTTCCTTCGGCGCCATTGCAACTGGCTGTTGATTCCATGCAGCTAAATGAGACGATGCCGGAAAATATGTATTATAATTTGATCCCTATTGAATAAATTGATCACTATCGTAGCTAATACGGTTCAATGAACCAGAAAATTGAACCCGGAACATCAGGTTATCCCAAACAGAGTTAGTTTTATATTAATAAAAAAATTTTTTACCAGGGTGTTTGCGAGTGCAACGACAACTTTATTTAAATTTTGTTAAATTTGGATGAAATTTGGATGAAAAATTAGTATTGTTTTGCCGGGCAGAGTAAACGTAATACGGAATTAGTCCATTCTTACAATTTATGCAATTCAATGAAAAACTTAACATTATTTGCTGAGGAATGTATACAGTCTTCCAGTGCATCTAGTTGTGACAAGGAGTAATTGTAGGACTAATTGGCAATTTGTTCAGAATGCTGTGCGAATGAAATGTTATGGATTTTAAGTACTAATTAAAACAATGGTAGGAGTGCAATCGCGCAATTTGATTGGCTGCTGACGAGGCAGGATTTTCCCGAATTGCCCACGGGCAATACGCAATTTTTTTGCCCCGCTACAAGAGCCGAGTTTCAAACGGCAAAAAGTGTCTAAAAGTCTTTCAAAACTATTCAAAACGAAGAAAAATAAACCTAAACTAAAGAAAAGGAGCACCTTCTTTGGATAAAGAACTTTCTCAATATGTTTTTGTTAGCGAAAGTCGAAATTGCAAGGTAAATTTTACAATGTTTATAACTATTAAAGAAGTCAGGAATAGCTGTGTTTTGACTTTGTGAAGAGCTGCAAATCTTATTTGCAGATAGCCGAGGAATTTGACACCATCCTAAATAAAAATACAACTAAAGCAGCTACAGATTTATATTTTCCCCTGAAATTTCTGGGGTTTTTCGATAAAAAGAGATATACTTATGAGTGAAGCGAACTAAAACCGTACTTGTCCATACTGTTTATTAATTTTATTGGTTTCATATTTGTTGTCTTTGTCTTTGATTAAATGACGAAATACCTCGTATTTTTCTTGAAATACTATCCAACTGTGTTAGTATTCTATATAAAAATTGCTGTAGAGTAGTTTTACTAACCAAGCTTGAGAACATTTTTTACAATTGTTCTTTTTTGCAAATGTTTCGCACTTTGTACTTTGCCCTCGCGTGACCTTTTTTACCCATTTTTTACAAACGTACAATGCCATATAATAAAAAACTTACTGACCTCAACCGATCGGGCAGTACGGGAAAATATCCAACCTCGGTCTTGCTGTATTGACCTCGCTATCGCTCGGTCAATACAGCAAGACCTCGGTTGGATATTTTCCCGTACTGCCCTCACTCTCGGTCAGTAAGTTATTAATCATATTAAAGGGAAATGGCAATATAAATTTTTATTTTCTCATTTGAAAGAACTTTTGAAACTATGTAATAACTTATTTTACCGATTCTTCATATCTTACTTAGTTCTTGAAATATTTTCACTTAAGTAATGAGATGTCCGCCATCTTGGATAATTTTTTGATCTCATTAACGGTTGTTTTGGTGAAGGTTACGACATGGATTAACCACATAAAAGTATTCGGCTTGCTGACCAAATATTAATTGGTAGGTGTTTTAAAGGTTTTAAGTGATGTTGATATTTCCAAGGGCATACAGAGTATAATTTTGAGTGCAAAATGATCAGTGGTTGTCAAGATAAAAGTATTGCGTGCAAGCCCCTGTTGTGACGTAACATGCATATTTACAAAATCGAAGATGGCGGACATTTCATTTCTTTCGATTAAAATATTTCTAAAAGTAAGCTCGATGTGAAAAAACGGTAAAAGAGTTTTATATATGGTTTTAAATGTTCCTTCAAACGAGAATATAAAAAATATAGTGCTATTTCCCTTTAAATGAAAAATAGGTTATAATGTACCGGGTGTCCCAAAAAAAAGTACTCCGGTTTGATTCGAAATAACTTCTAAACAAGTAAAGCTTTTAAAGAGAAATAACTTGCATCAAATAGAGGAAGGACTAACTTAGATTATGATATATTACAGTTGTATTTCACCTAAAAATTCACGGAGATATTAATGTTTAAAATCGGGAGCATATTTCTTGATGTGTCTGAAATATGCCAAAAACAGCGTATCAAATATTAATCAAGATTTACCCGACTGAAACATGCACTATTACCTGTAAATAAATGACACTTGACAAATTGTTTATTATGAAACAAAGTATTATTATCTACAAAATACAAGCAAGATTTATTCGTCCGATATCCGCGTGTGTTCCTAGCACGAATACGTTTCCTTATTTCATGAGACCACTGCATCGTGAAGGATCGTCATGGATCGTTCGTAGTTCTGAATTAGGGCATGCTGTCACATTGGAATTGTGAATTTTCTAACTTCACATTGAATGAATTTTCTAACTTCTGCAACGTTCTGAAATCTTGTTAAGAACACCCAAACTCTTTTGCCTTTCTTAATCTTGGCAAGTTCAGAATAAACTGAGAATGCAACACAATCAAACCATACAACTCCTTAAGCAAAGACATAACAAGCATGCAACTCCCCAGAGACATCCAACATTTTTGGAACAAAACGTAACAAAATAGTAGCTTTGATACTGTGATGTGTATTTGCAAAAAGCAATATTATTTCCTCCATTAAAGAACAATATTAATCCTGCTCTAACCGAGAAATAATCAACTTTGTTTTGAACCCATGAAAAACATAAAAAATAGGTTATTTAAGAAAAATTGAAGCGCCTGCCTTGCATGGTCTTTCAGTACCTTAAGTTTGCAAAGACCTATTAAATACTTACATAATTTCGAACGTTCATATTTCAGGAAACAATAAGTTAAGACTTACATGTAAGATGTCTAAATCTACGCCATATCCCTTACAAACCCTAACGACAATTCGTTGAAATACAATTTACCCTGATATGTCATTAAGCAAACAAACGCTGGAGTTAAAATTTAATACGCCGATTTTCGCTAATTTTAGACACATCCCAAAATATGCTCCCGATTTTGAACATTAATATCTCCGTGAATTTTTGAGTAAAATACAACTGTAATATATCAAAATCTAAGTTAGTCCTTCCTCTATTTAATGCAAGTTATTTCTGTTTGATAGCTTTCCTTGTTTAGAAGTTATTATAAATCAAACCCGAGTACTTTTTTTTGGGACACCCGGTATATATTTCTTTTTCTATAGGCCTCGTTGGGGGTTCGTTTTATACAGAACAAGGTGGTGCTTCTGATTACCTGTGTTTGCCATTGAACCCAATATATGGTCTATATAAATCTGGTAATCAAGAATCTCGTGCTCGCATTTATGGCGCTGAATATCAATCAGAATCTGATGGCATATTTCCCAGCAGCCTGTACCAGCACGATGTTCCTTGTTCCGTGTGTCATGTGACCAATCGTGCTTCTCAAATTATGATACCTGCTCGTAACGTTTGCCCGAGTGGATGGACACGTGAATACCAAGGATACCTCATGGCGGAAAAATATTCTCACTGTCGTACAATGCATACATGTGTGGATAAAGACCCTGAATACATACCAGGAAGCAGTGCCAATGCCAACGGAGCATTATTTTATTTCGTTGAAGGAAAATGTGGCTCACTTCCCTGCCTACCATATGTCGACGGACGTGAGCTGACATGCGCTGTATGCACTCGTTAAGTTTGAACATATCCTTGTCTAATGAAATTGATTAACACCATTCTTTTTTAATTTTCTTGACTCAATTTAACATTGATATTTAACAATTAGCACATAATTAATGCATGCACACTTTTGTGTCACTTTCAGCACGTAATGATGACGATAATTATTTCATCATTATATTTAATTGATAATGTAACTTAGAATTGCCTAGCTGCACTTGTACAACAACTAGGAAATAAATGAAAGAAAGCTCATGCAAATGAATGTATATATTCCTTTTTGACGATCTGTATATTTATGCTTCAAGAATGAGAGCTAATTACACCCGGCCAAGGCCATGCATGCAGTTGCTAAATTGAGGAATACGGTATCTAACGTTTGTTTATAATTCATATCTATGAACCAAATTTAAATTTTTAGGTGGGGCAAATTTAGGTTATTTGTTGCGTAAATCTTAAAAAAAAACCGGACCATTTTTGATATTTTAGTCAAATTTTTTCTCTTTTTTTCTTTTTACAATTTTTCTCTAAAATTGTTGAGGGTAATTCTTTTTTCCTTTGCAACACTTTCAAGTTTAAGTGTTGCGACCATATCCACGTACGCACTTAATCTTCGAGACGACCGGCCGAGCTTGAAAAAAGTGCCCAGAAAATACTGTCGATGGCATTTTTTATTGCTGATGCAGGCAGCTCCCTATTCTTGACATGTTTCCAGATTTTACTCGCCCCAATCTTTTTCCGGATTTAAGTATTGTCGAAATCTCAATCTGGGCTCTGCCCATTAAGATGTCCTATTACGGGGAGCGTTGCGCAAGAGAGACTTGTGAAGTGATGGGAATTAAAATATTGACACTTGGATTGACAACATGTGTTCGAAGCATATTAGATATGTTTCAATTTGGAGACTAAAATACCGATTTTTGGAACAAAATAGATCAGGTTAGTATGACTAATTGCTTTTCTATTTGCTTCCGCTTGTTATATTTTATAAACCAGAGCGATATCTTCTCAAATAAACTTTTCTAAACTGATCTGAATAATATGACATGATGTAAATATATAATCAAGGGACAAGTGCAGAAACGATATTTATACAATCATATTGAACTCATTGACTCATTGATCAACTGGCTGTTTTTTTAAGGTGGTTCGATACACTTTTCAGAAATTCAGGTGTTCGACACTTTGACCTGTTCAAACTACGCATTTTTAGGATTTATTCAGAACATATTCGGGGTTTATATATTTTGATATCTCTATGTTCACGTTATATTAGTTTTAATAACAGATAGTTTGTTGCTATGACGACATAAGTGTACGGACTTCACTTCAAAAAGTGCTATCGCCTCGTATAGTTGGAATTGAAGCATGGTGACTACCCATTTTTTTTCCTGGATCATTTTACATGGTAGAAAAACTAACAATAGCAAAATAACTAGAAAATACATGCATGCAGAAACCCTCGACTTGCTGACAAAACCATTTTCCGAACATGAAGTATCTAAAGTAGTTCTCATGGTAACACGATAATTTTTTTTTAAGAATATACTTACAAATGAAAAATCGCATAAAAATGTCATTTTAATTACAATATTATTACTTTCCCAACATATATATGTGAGGTATGTTATTATACGTAATATAAGCCCTAATTAAGGTAAAATTCAACCACAAACGCTTCGCAAAACGTTTTAAAGTCACTAGTGTTCTTTATAAAACTAAACTGCCTTTAATTAAATGGCTTTATCGACAATCTTTGAGTTTGCAATAAAATGATTTAAAATTCTCGCTTGCAAATAACTTTGCTTTCTTTTTTATTTAAATAATTCAATACACTAAAATTATATGCTGTCTTGTTTAGTTGTTTCATATAAATAAAAAAAATAAAAAATAATAATAATAATAATATGGTTTTAAATACATTATAAAATCAATATTTAAAACAAACTTACCTTCGTTAATGTCGGTTCCCTTCCTTTACCCGATTCTTTCGCAGTTTCTTTCTAAGATAGCTTTTGAAATTTACAAAATCTTGCAAAAATGCGAGCAAAAATGTAATATATTTGCAAGAAATTTATCAATCATCAAATCAAGAAATATTTGCTATTTCTCTGTTGTCGCGCAGTCGTTATAATGCAAACTTTAAATTGCACCAATCAGTGTCCGCTATTCGTGACAGTGCGCCATATTTTTGCGATCAGTGAGGATGACATGCACCCACCCAACACCGTTGGTGACCCACGCCTGCGATAATTGATGAACTTTAGACTCCGCTAATGCTTTCGTTTCCCCGGGTTTTAATAGCCGGGGGGAATTAGTACCCTCGCACGGCGCTTCGCGCCGTCGGCTCGGGGATAAAAAATTCTGTAATGCCATTTTTTTTAAAAATGCGAGATGTCGTACTCTTTTGAAAAATGTTTTTGGTATTACAGAATTTTTTATTTTTTCACCCAAAAAAATAGAGAGATATAGCCGCATTGTTTTTCTAAAATTGAAAATTCTAATGACGACAGCAATTGACATAAAACGCTATTATAGAGCACGCGCAATGACTTGAGATGGCGCGAGCAACTGCTCACGTCAGGTCATTTTTTTGGAAGTTCTTTCATTTCGTTAATCAGTTTTCGCGACCTGCGCATAATAATTGTCTCCCGGTTTTCTTCGCGATTCTTCAGCAGGGTTTTTGTGAGAAATATACGAGCCACCTTACTGCAAAATATTAATATAATTTATTCCTAGTGTTTCTATTTTATTTAAACACACAGAGACCTAATATGAAAACCGTTTGCACGTTTGACTGACAGTTGTATTAATTAATAAGTTTGCATTTAATCCATTGTTGGAGTTTCTTATGTTGCTATTAGCAGAGTAAAATCACTTACGTTTAATTAAATCACTTACCTAAAATTTCAGACAATTTAATTAGTTTAAGTCCTTTAAAATCACATATGTGCACAGCGCTGTTATACATCTATAATATATCATAAGCATATAAGCTATTTAAGACAACGCGCGATTCGCATTGTATACAGTAGCAAATGCGTTTTCCAACAAGCACACTAGATAATATCCCCGTTTTATCAGTTTAAAAACGAAATTGTTATTATAATTTAGTACGATTCCTGGATTCCCAGATTCCCCGATTCTCCATTCCCTCTTTTAAAGATAGCCCTGACAAGTGCATGTGAAATTGTGAAGGTTTTTTGCATGGGCATGTTGCTTCCACCGCTTCAAGTTGGTTCGGACTTCACTGAATGTCGAGTTTTACAGAATGCATATAAATGCAACTGTATATTTGACATTGCAAATACAATGTCATAATATGAAGCATAGTCGGTCCCTTCCACGTGTTTTTCTAAAACAGAAATTATTCGGCAAACGTAAGCAGTCTTTTTAGCTAAGGAGTAAGGACAGCAAATTTAGGGTAGATTCGATCCACGACGCACGACGTTTCATCCACCACACACGACGCACGATCACAACTCACTCAAACACTAACGAAATACTTTCGCTGGTAGCGTGTTTGTGCTGGGCTCCACACCGTAGGCTATCTCGCTGGTTGCCAGCTTGAGAAATAATATGCTGCATGCATGAGTTCAATCTCGTAACCAGAGCATGCCCGTTCGCAGGTTAGGCTCTAGGTACGAGTTTATTTGCGATGCAAGAATGCAAGTTTCAATGTTTCGATAGTTTATTGAAGGTACATACAAAAAAGTTCCGCAAAGGAAGAAGGCAGAGGAGGTTGGGTGACTATACCGGCATGCATTGCGTCTCATTATTATTCACAATTGTGATTTTCGACAAACGTTTAGTGAAAAGTTGTTGAAATATATTGCGATTTTTATCTTTGAAGATATCATTTTTTCGAAGGTATGTTTTTATATTTGAATTATTTAAGAACCTAATTAAATTATTTTTGACTTGTTTGGTACAGGAATTGCTTTTTAGTTAAGTTAATTACGTATTGTATTTATGCTTGATTCGGGTCAGTGGACACGCCACAAAAGTGGCTTTCAAAAAATGCAGAAGCTACTTTCATTTTTTTGATGGGAAATTAAAATAAAACACGTCAGCGAGTTAATGAAAGTTTATTCTTTCCATTCGTACTTTAAAACTCAAAGTAGCTCGACGAAATCGACTAGTAATCGCGGTTTGAAAATGGGGTACTTTTGCTATATTCTTTCGCCGAGGGCGGGAATTGACTGCGCGGTTATCATTTGGCGCGAAGTAAAAACTACAGTACGAATCACTATTTTCTTCAAACTCTTTGGAACAAACGCATACATGTTTCCACATTTAACTATACTGAGTCTACTGACCGTGTTTCAGAATCCTGGATTAAAATATTACTGTAAAATATAATAAAAATACAGTATGACTGAAGGTTGTTCAACTGAAGAGAAATTTCCGATTTAAATATTGAAGTTTACACTGTTTATTTTGTACTTTCCTAGCAGAAAGATTTATCAGACTCCTATAAAGAAGTCCTCAGTAAAATATCATAAATGGACCTTTGAGAAAGATAAGGCACTTACTGAATTCATATCAATTATCAAAACAGATCCAAAGTATCAGTATGGAACACATGTTGGAAAGCTGGCATCGTTTAACCCATTGAAGCTGCAGAGCTTCCCCATTGACAAGTAAAATCGTCTGGCGTTAGACAAGTAAAAAAAAAATAAGTTGGGCGCATGGCGGCTCAAAATGGGTTAACTAGAGACATTGTCAGATTTTTTGATTAACCCATTAAGGGAGTGGTCATTATTTATGGGGAGGGGGTTGGGAAATGGGAGGGCAAACAAAGTTTTACCCTTATAAATAGGGGAGGTCAAAAAAGTTTTAACGCAGAGAAAGGGGGGTCAAAAAAGTTTTTGAACTTATAAATACCATGTCTAGAGTTCTGATTTATATAATCACAAATAGCAAAAAAGAAGACTCTGAAAATGCTGTTGTTAGAGCTCTTTATAATAGGTGTATTACCTGCAAAATTCAAAACAAATAGATGTTTCCATCAAAGGTCCTATTTGGCAATTTAGTTGTTTTGATGTTTCAAGTAAAATTGTCAGGTCATAGAGCAGCAATATGATGACACAGAGTGAAAATGTGTTCTTATCATAAATTATACCACTTTATCTGTTTTTCGTACTTTATATAGATTGCCGTCTACAAACATGAACAACTGTTTGCTACAGAAAAAAGTTTGCAAGATGCTGACATCCATTATCGTTTGACACAATCTGACAGTTTAGCAGAACTTAAATCTAAGTAAATCTAATCGTAAATCTAAGCCTGTCATGGAATCAGCAACAGAGTGTGGCCATTTTGATGTGGTTATTTTGCAGTGAGGGTCAAACACAAATGATTACAATTTTACAGGTTTACAAAGAAATATAATTCCTCTAGAATGTTCAATGTACATCATTAAGAGAAAAAAGCATCACTATTCGTATACAGTATATTTTTATCATTCACCTTTCATGTAGCATAATTAGAGTAATATTAACATTTTTTGTAGTTTGACAGAAATACATTTTATTGAACATCAATTCTGTGTGATCTGTTTACTTAAGTATCTTTTATAAGAGTGAAATAAATAAAACCATATCATGTGTTAAGACTGTTAGCAGGTATTTAATTAATCAGTTCATTGTTTATTACTAGCCATATAAAATTGCAGAATTGGTAAAATGGCATCACAGAATACCAAACACTTATGCTACAGCTGCATATAATAGGAAATGCCAAGAAATAACCTGCAGGGCAAATAAAATCTGGGTATAACCACAGTCAGTTCTCAATACAGTACAAACAAAAAACAGCACTTGAAACAAATCAGGGAATTTAATAGGTCAGGATGAAGTTCAAACCAGAGTTTTGGGGTCAAATACACAATTTATGTAACCACTGTATATTATTTTGTGTTGCCAGATGACTGACCCTTGACCTGTTATTTTGAGTGCTAGAAAAGTCAGTATTACAAGACTCTGCCAAAACCAATTTTTCATTTCTATTTATGGCTAACACTATTAGTAGTGGTTGTTTCAATGCAGTACAGCATAGCATCACACATTTCGTATGGTAGTACAGCTGTGATTCTTTTTATGCCAAGATAGTAAGCCTTCCATTGAAGATATTGAGATGAAGGGTATTGTAATGCAACCAAGGTTCACAGCTATATTGAAGTACCAGTAACAGCTTTCATCTCCAGAGCTATATCACCATCATTCACCACATCACATCCAGATGTTCTTCATCCTGTTTATGTCATGGCAAGAATATCCTTTATGTGTAACCACTTCCATTGATGAAAACAACTGAAAGATAAACAAAGAGAGCACAGACTTTGTTATGCACTGTCTTTATAGGTGTACAAGACCTACTACGTATCTCAATTGGGCTGCTAAAACAACTAAAACATGCTTTCTACAAAGCTGTGGCAATTATCTTTATCACTGAATATTTTTAACAAATAACATTGCCTGGTGTTAGGCAGAATAAAATAATAAAGTAGGTTGCATTTATACAGTATCAAGTACATTGCATCGCAATGGAGTTGACTGACATGAATTAATTTTCCAGTCCTCAATCAAATATTCTCCCCCAGCTAAATAAAACTAAACATCGTATATTTATAATCATGTCAACATTTTCAAAGGATGCACAAACTTTTATAAATTAGGCAACACAATGGATTAAAGTAAACAACGTGCATCTAATTAATCATCTTACCGTAAAAATGCAGCTCGAATTGTATTTCTATCAATGCAGGACTGCATCCAGTGAACATTTCGTAGACTTTCTTTCAATTCCATTTATATAAGCAAGTAAACAACCGATGGACATAGCCGATAGCGCTATTCTCACATTCTCACGACATTCAAGTTCGACACAGCAATCCGCTTGGGATCAAGATTAAAGTTTCTTTAGACACGCACTCACACAATGAACAAACACAAGCTCTTGTCCATTCAATACTGAAACATTTTCCCCTCGAATGCAGCGAAAACTTGCCATTTTAGTTGCAATATAAATTGAAATACTTCATTACCTCTCCAGTTCTGACTTCCGCGAAAGCTACCGAACAATGACGTGCACTGCCGAGAAATCGATAATATGTAACAAAATGTGCCTGACCGCAATGCATGCCGGTATAGTCACCCAACCTCCTCTGACAATTAGTTAAAGCGGCAATCCCTCTATTTTTCCTCTTGTCTCCGCCCCTTTTTGCCATTTTCCCGCGCGTTCAATCTTAGTCCGGGAAACAATAAAACGAAGGAAAATAGAGGGATTGCTCGCAGTCTACCTTTAGAATCGATTTCCGATGTTTTCCGAACGCTAGGATGTAAACACGCGATGTTTTGGCAGATCTAAAATGTATTTCCGGTTAAAAATATCCCGCTGATTTCATTAGTTTCGCAACAGATTGAAATACCAAAATAAAAGACGGAAAACTAAGGCTACAAGCTTGAAAATAACACTTTCAATAGTGTTTTTGATTCTGTTTCGAATAAGACTATAGCGAAAACGATATCTCAAAAGGGGCCGAAGTTATGTTCGGCAAAAGGTATTGATAGTTTACATTGTTCGAGACAATTGATTAATATAATGAAATATGACACCGCTTGACCTGTCGAAAGGTCATAAATTGTTATACAATTTCACTAAAATTATATTTGACTAAAACTATCGACAGGTATTAGGAGATATTGTTTCACTGAATCGAATGGTGGTATTTTCATCTACATAGCATGCACCCAACTGACGATATGACCCTGCAAAGTCGTAAATCATGAGTGATTTACTTAATAGGGACCTGTCGGGAAAGAGTTAAAAAACTACCTAAACTACCCACCTTAAAAAAACACTTTAATAAGCCAAGACGAGACGAGGAAGTCTAAAATCGCGTTGTAAATAGGTAATCTTTCCAATAAAATAAATCGATAGAATACAGTCCCCTGAATGTTATTAGACGGTTTTAGATAACAAGACGCGGACGTCAAGAGGACGTGAAAATGACGTATGCACCTCGCGTTCACTTCCGGGTTTTAATCTGGGACGGCTTGTTTGTCTTTTTCGAAGCAAATTTTTGTTTTCTTGTTACCTGTTCATTCCTGTATTGTTTTCAAGATATGTGCAAGTAAAGGCTATATAATACTGGCCAAGTGTTTCCTGATGAATTGATATGAACATTCACTAAGTTTTTTTTAGAAAAAAACGTATATTTCGGTATTTTGAAAAGTGAACTTTGTTGCATCATTTGGAATAAATACAATAGCTGCAGGTATTGTTTACGAGCTAAATGCTTTATTGTAGCCTATTCAATCAAGTTTCAACTGTTCAGTATAAATATAGCATCAGTGTTTATAATGGTAAAATTTAATACTGTTTACGATAGTTTTTCACGCTGGAAAGCGTTTTTTTGCTTGTCCTACTTTTTGCACTGTTGTGACAGAGCAGCTAAAATTGATTGAGTTTTTACTGCTTTTGACTGCTTTTATTTTTCTATTTTCCCACGTTTTCCTGATTTTAAACAGTTGTTAATATAACTTCAGTTTAGTTTGTTCTAAAATATTTGTTTTGGTGAAGATTACTGGCGATATTGAAGTGGTTATTAACAATGCTTGCAGTTTTGTTGATTTGTTAATATGGCGACCGAAAGTATTTGTCGAAAATCAACTCGTCCAAAATTTAGCGAAATACAAGAAAAACAACCTTGTCAATGGAAAAACTTTAGCTAGTATCATTAAACAATACATGGGGAACAAAATAGGATGATTTTTATTATGCATAGTCTCATATTTTTTTCAAAAGAAGCAAAAATCTGTGACGTTCTAGAGAGGACGTGAAAATTGTATTTTCGCGTCGTGAAATCGTCCAAGAAAACGTCGCAATTCGCAAACCAGAAGCTGACGATAGTTGGCGCCAAATGACGACATCCACGTCCTCTTGACGTCAGCGTCTTGTTATCTAAAACCGTCTATTGTGTGTGAACCAGTGTGGAGATCAAAGTGAAGATTCTGCAAAAGTACCCTCGCCCCAGACTTACGCCTGGAACGGCGCTCCGCGCCGTTGGCTCGGGAACAATTCAAGGTCGGTCGTTCTATACTTTGATAAATCGTCAAAGTATAATTTATCCGCTTCATTTCAACGCGTAAAAATGAATGCCGGATGAAAATATGACAGACTTTGTTATTCACTAGCTATGTATACTGTATGACAGAAATCAGTAAAAACAAAACAATTGAATTTTTACCTTCTCAGCTTTGGCTGGGCACCACGAACCGTTGTGGCCTAACCGTGCCTTATCTGGACCATTAGTAACAGACAAACAACTGCTGGCGGTAATTTGAGCGTCCAATATGCTTTTATCTTCCATACCAAGAGGAACGTTACAAGATAGAATGTCTGAATATAAATAAATTTATTTCAATCTTTTGATCTAAGACAAACCCTAATATAGTTTGTAAAATATAGTAGTTGAATTTATTTAATTAAAATAAGCTGTGTGTGTAAATGGCATGAGAACCTTAACAAGATTTTTTTATATAGTATAAAATTCTTATGTACTATTGCAGTAAAACATGAGCAGCAGTGTTTTATCAGATATACTGAAGATACGAGGCGAAGAAGAGTTTATTTTATATAATACCTTATTAAATTCTAATCGTTTAATTGGCTGTTTATGGTCACGTGATATTGAATAGAAAATTCCATTTCCCAAGAGTGCAATGGAACGCATTCCATTGCACTCTCCGCGAGTGCAATGGAATAAAACGTATAGTACAATTGCACTCTTTGTGTTTTCGATAAATCGCATCCCTCAAAATGCTTCTCATACGAATCTATTAGTCTGTTCTGGACTTTTGGTATTATATAAAACAATGGAACATTCCATCTTTCACCTCATGAAAATATTCTTACCATTGCACTCATAAACATTCATTATTTGTATAATATAAACATGAGAAAAATTGTATTTAAACACACGTAAAAAATACGATATTTTTACGTGTGGAAATATCATTTGTTGTAAAACGCATTGCCACGGACGTTTTATTGTTTTTCACCGAATTTTGTTTATATAATAAACAGAAAAATACATGGGTGCTTGGAAATACCAGATTTATTTGTCGTGTTGAACATGATATCTCACTCGTTCGCGCTGCGCCCACTCGTGAGATATCATGTTCAACACTCGAAATAAATCTGGTATTTCCGCGCACCCATGTATTATTCTCTATATCTTTAGGTCTGATAAAACACGCACTGCGAATTAAATTGCTCAGTTCAACTCAGAGATCCCAAGGATAGCGCAAAGTTGATATGACAAATGATAATTAAGATTTATGTTGATTCGCATAATGTAAGAAATAGATTGATGCATCTATATTCTATAAGGAAGTTGTTTGGCGTTTGTTTTTGTATATTACAAGCCACGACAGTAAATTTTGTTGTTTTCGCATGGATAATTTTCCATGACTTATTGTCAATGCAATGGAAGTGTTGATAAAATATTGCACACAATTCGATCCTTTCCTCAAGTTGATCAATTCATTTGATAGAAAATTGATCAACTTCCTGTTACTTTTAAATGAGCCAATTAGATTTCGTTTCAGAACCGATTGGCCAATAGGAAACGCACAGGAAGTAAAAAGAAATTTGAATTCGTATGAATTGATCAACTTGAGGAAATGATTTTCCTGATACTCATTTTCCGTTGTACATTTAATACAAAACAAAATAAACCGCCTTCGAAAATCGAAATGAAACAAAAATGAACAGCTTTTAAAAGGGCCTGTTTATATGGAAGCTGGGCTGGCCCTAGCCTGATCACAGACCTACATTTCGCCTGCCCTAAAATTCGCGGGTCGACGAAGGGCGAAACGTAGCCCTTTCCGTCGACGAATTTTAGGGCGGGTGAAACATAGGCCTGTTATCAGGCTAGGCTGGCCCGCTTAGCGAGACAACCCGGTAAGCGAGATCTCGCTGTGTAGTTATTATTATAGTAAAAATTATCGTGCCTTATTCGTGCTTATATGGACAAGCGGGCTAGCCCGGCTATTAGTAAAACACGGAGCACGGAGCACACGTCGCGAGCACGGAGCACACGGAGCACGGAGCACACGGAGCACGGAGCACACGGAGCAAGGAGCACACGGAGCACGGAGCACACGGAGTACGGAGCAGTAGAAAAACGAAAATCCTTTATAATAAAATACACTGTTTACTATTACAATTTTTTGTTCTTATTAATAAAGTTTTTTCGCGTTTTACACGTCGAGGAAGTAAGAAAATTGGGCTTTTAAACTGAAGCACATATGCAAAACTGCCAAAAGCCATAGTTGTATTTAAAATAGGATTGTGAAACTCGTTATCTTACATC